GCCTCAAGCTGTCGCCCTGGGTAGAGTGCCATGACGTCACAGCTCACAGCAACCTCCAACTGTTGGGCTCAAGCGAGCCTCTTGCCTCAGCCTCCCAAGTAGCTGGGACCATAGGCGCCGGCCACAACACCTGGCTACTTTTTGGTTGCAGCCGTCAGTCATTGTTGTTTGGCGGGGCCTGGGCTGGATTCGAACCTGCCAGCTCAGGTGTATGTGGCTGGCCTTAGCCATTTGAGACAGGCACTGAGCCAGCCCTACTCTGTCTAACCTAAGGTCCTCAGTCTTACCCCTTCCATCTGTATAATCTGGGACCTGGCGTGTTGTCTTTTGCATGGTATGTGTTTGTTGATTTATAGAATTGTAACAGAAGTGGAAAATTGGAATGAATCTAATTTAACTTAACATTTTGTAATGGAAATAGATTTTTAGACAGAGTTTTGTTTACTTTTTCTTTCAGTTGTGTAAAAAACAATTTCAGTACAGTGCCTCCTTACGAGCACACCTTATTCGCCATGCCAGAAAAGATGCACCCACTTCGTCCTCATCCAGTTCCACATCTAATGAGGCATCAGGAACATCGTCTGAGAAGGGCAGAACCAAACGAGAATTCATATGTTCCATATGTGGAAGGACATTACCTAAATTATATTCTCTTCGAATACATATGTTAAAGCACACAGGTGTAAAGCCGCATGCGTGCCAGGTAAAGCCATAACATTTATTTTGTCATTTAAAGAAGATAGAAATTATGAGGATATGTATTCTAGAGTCACCCTAGACCATCAGAGAAATTTGACTTATTTTTTTGTAAATCGAAAGGAATCTATATTAAGTTGTTTGTGAAACTTACTAGGGTCCAGAGAATGTGCAAAGTAAGAATAACCAATTTATCATCTCAGCCATTCCTTAACCTTCAGCAGGACTAACCAGGACTGGAAAGAAACTCATAGCTTAAATCTCCTTGGTCAATAAAAATCCCACCTAAGCTATGTGTTCTTCTGTAAAGGTGAGGGTACCTAAATGCCAAAACATGACTCCAGTGATTAGCCAGTGTTAGGCTTTTTATTCTCTTTAAAA